GGTTCAACAAGAGTTGCTATTCTGGAAAAAGTTATACCACAATGCGTTCCACACTACAATTATCTTCTCTGTGTAAAGAAACATCCCGTACATCATCGTTCAACGAGACATAAGCAAAGACCCCTCAGAGGATTACAAAAGCTTTGATAAACCATGCCACTTGAATCTACCATATGGTTGTATTACACTGTAGAGTTCAAGCGTTTCAGTTAGCTTGTCCGTCAGTAGCTTTTCCGAGTGGAGCAACCTTGTTGCTGCTGCAGACAGTGCATGGCAGCCCGCTGTGGTTAGTGCGCTGCTGCTAATGTTGCTAATGATCCCAACAATGTAGTAATAAAGACTGGAGCGGAGCCCTTTCATTTACAGTAAGCTTCACAGTGAGTGTCTCTAGAGGGAGGTAAGGATGAGAGCCAAGGGGAAGTCCTTTCCCCAGACTGCTGCCTATTCCCCTCTGACAGTGCAACAGGGACATGCTGTGCACCGGTGTCCCTCTGCACACTGCCAGCTTCCCTATATTTGCACAGGCTGCGATCCATGAGGTGTGTATGTGTGTTTGTCTCTGTGTGTGTGTGTGTGAGAAATAAGGGCAAGGTTTCTAAGGTGACACATTTTCCACAGTGCACCAGGGCAGCGCCGCAGAGGAGTGTTTTCTTGCTAGGAGAGGAGAGCAATGAAACGACAGCGGATCATTAGACTGGGATTGCCTGCAGCTTGTTAATTTATGCAAATGACTTTCTTGGCTAATGTGAAAGGAGAGGGAGTCGCAGCTTGGCCAGCAGTCAACATCGTGCAGCGAGGGGTTTAACTGCTGCTTTGGTGGTCTGGAAACTTTAGCAGCAAAAGCCAGGGAGGGCTGTGTTTATAACAACCAACTGTGACAAAGAGATGCAGACTATGCAAGCCCTCTTCCTGGCAAGGCAGGCGGACAGACAGCCAATCCAGTCCACGGCGGCTCTCGCACTGGCGAATGGCATGGCATGCTGGCCCTCTCGTCGCCCCGCCTCCCCTTCCCCCGCCGCACCGCAGCTGCCCAGAATGATTTTATAAACATTTTGCCAGTGGATCAATACCTGTATTGATCAACCATTGTGAGAGTGATCCGTCTAAAACCCAGAGCAGCCTAGAGCTCAGAGATGGGAGGAGCGAGAGAGAGTGGCTGCAGAGAGGATGGAGAAAGAGAGAGAGTCTGCAGCCACAGTGAAAGGGAGAAGAGGTGCAAGGGAAGAGAATCTGAGAGAGAAGCAGACGCAGAGCTGAAGGCAGGTGGGGAGGCAGGTTTTCGGACAACGCTGCCAGGCCACTGGGACTGGGGGAGAAACCTATGGTAATTGTTTTCTCGTTAAGGGAGGGAGGGTTAGAGCGACTAATGAATACTGCGTTAAGTATGCGGGTAAGTGACAGACGGATAAACAGTGCGGAGAAATGTGTAATGCGTGCAAGAAATGGGGGTGATTCCCTCACCTGAGATTGCTAATACCTGCTCTACTAGTTTGGCCCAGTTGGGTTGTACTTTCAGCTGCATTGTTGCATGTGCACTGTGCATGACTGCGTGATTTTCAAATATCAGTGAAAGAGTGTGCAGGGGGGGGGGGTGCAGCTGATGAGGAATTCAGATGAAAAGACAAATATTCTGCTTTATACATTACTGCTTATATTTAGATTTTGAATGTTTTGACAAGAAAACCACTGGAGTGTCAAAGACCTGCAGCCTTCGGTGACAACGTGGGACAGAGAAGGCCCAGCACAGACTGTGCTCATGAGTTCAGCTGTTCTGGTAAAAACTGGAAAATCAAAGACCATGTGGAATGGAAAATGCTGCATCCTGGATACAAGCATAGAGGATATAAAAGGGACATTCATGATCAAGGAAAAGTTGATACACTGACAAACCCGAAGATAAATGGCTGCAACAACGTAGTAGAATCTGTGGCAAATGACAGATTGTTGTTGTTTTGAACTGGTGTGGATAAAGCTAGCTTGGGATCTTTCGGACTTGGATTACAATTTTATTAATATTTTGTTGGCGTTTTGCTGAATGGACAGCCGACTAGAGTGGACCCCTCAACGCAAGCAATGAATGTTTGATTCAAGGCCCGAAGTGGGGCTGCACCGGAGGAGGAGTCAAAAGGCTTTTGGGATCAATCCCCCCAATGCTAAAGGGAAATCAAGTTTTCATTGATTGGTTTGAAATGTGACTTTCCTGCTCATAATCTTGGATTTGAGGGAAGATTAAATCCCTTAAAACAAACTGTTGGGAAACATCTTGATGCCTATAAACTCACTTTTTACTCCAGCTCTGGTGTGGGAACACAGAGTCATACAGGTTCACTTCTCTGACAATGTGAAATTTAAGGGACAAGAGCCACCTACAATTATGTTTGTTGTAAAAGAAATAAACTATTATTGTGTGGTGCACAATGCTAATCTTGCCAAGTGTGTAGCAGTGCTTTCCTTGGCAGTGTTCAGGTTCCACTCTGCATGCTAACACAATATGAACGCACTGTGTGTGTTTGAGAGTTTAGTTTACAGTCCGTAAACATCTAAAAAATCTAAATGTTCTAAATGTTTAATGACTTTATTTTTTTGGTTGTGTTTTTCTGAAAACTGTCTCAACTCACTCAAACTAAGGCAAAGTTAGCATGTGTCATGTTTGAATCTATACTCTTTCAGTTTATTGCCTAGAAATCAATACTTACTTATCCAAAACCTGGACTGAATGATTACATCTTGTGCAGTAGGGATACAGCTCCTGACTCAGAGTTAGTACCTGTTCTGTACTTGAGCTCAGATATTAAGACAAATGCAGTGCAGGTACAGAACCTGTACTGGTAATCATGGGAGACTCGATTAGTGTTTAAGAGAAAAGAGAAAACTAAACAATACACTACAAGGCTGCTGGCATCAATGGTGTTCAGTGTACACAACGCACAGATGATGTGTTCAGTGCATCACTTTCTCATTTTTCTCATTTACACTGACGGGTAAACTACACAGAGTTTATCAGTTACAGAAGGCAACTGTCAGGTATTTAGTTACAAATGTTCCTATAATATCATCTCTGGACCCAAATATTAATGTGATGGGATATTAAGCAGATATTATGGTTATATATATTTATCAAACAGAAACCTTAATATTCTTACACGAATAGAGTTTGTGGCATAGATTTGAAGATTCAGAGAGAAACATCCCTGCATTAAAACGTTACAGCTGGCTGCACCGGTGTGTTAAGATATTGCTGAAGCAATAAAATACAATCCAGAAAGTCCAGTTAAAATAACACAGTAGAGATTTAAAAGCTTATCAGCCTGAAACAAACACTGTGCAATGGTTTGTAATAGTCACAGGCAGGATTTTACAGCCCTGTAATGTTATCACAGCAGCAACGATTTTATCTTTTTCCACGATGATCGCAAAGTAAACAGCAGAAAAACATTGTTCATGTTTCAAATCTAAACCAGAATGTGTTTGATTGGCCAATAAAGAACCTCGTTGGATGGTGTTGCATTGAGTTGCTGAGCAAGATTAAACTCTTTTTGCAAGTACACTCTGCATTGTTTTACCAGCAGCCTCATGTCACCACTGCAATCCAGGATGCATTGAAATGAATGAGAGCAGCATTTATTCACAAAGGACTAAATTTGTTGGGAAAAACTGCGAATACTGTCGAAGAAGAAGGATTCATTTTTACTTCTTTGGTTCTTCCATGTAATGCAGCACTCATCAAACTGCACTACATGCATTAGGTACTATGTGCCCTAAATCAGTTGTAGCCAAGAATGAACCAAGCCAAGTCTTGCAAAACTCGAGCCAACGGTTCACAATGTGAGACAAATGGCTGCCAGTCTTCTCAGCCATCGTCTCTTGTTTTCAGTATAATATAATGATATCTGGACTAAATTCCTACATAGAACACCTTTAAACGTCACCCACTTTAAAGTAAATGGGCTCTACAGTGTTTTAATTTTCAATATTTTAAATTTTTGGATTATTATTTATAACAGGTCTTTGTGATCAATGAATAAAAACGTATAAGAAACATTATTTTCCATCTATAGAACAAATAACCAAAGGGCAATAAGGTTGTACTAAACTTGCGATGGCCTGTTCTCATATCGTTGCCTTCCTATCGTCTGTATCAGCATCATTTAAGGGGGATAAACATCCTCGTTAAAGTCATGTGTCATCAAAGCAGCACTGAGACACTGAATCGTTGTCTTGTTCCCTTTCATCCTTCAGTTTGATTCCCGCTCTCAAAAACAAACCCTTGGACGAGTGCCAAATAATAAATTAGGATCTTCATTAGACACATCAAATCTAAATTACTATTCAATTAGCAGGCCAGTCAACCCGAACTAATCAACCAATTAGGCTGTGTGTGTTCACAGGGAAAGCTAACAAAAGCACACGAGTCCCCTGGGAAAGCTGTAAAACACTGCACAAGAGTGACAGTGCAAATGAGAAGGGCGACTGGTTTAGGAGGATGAAAGTGAGACTGGGATCAGAACAACATTCATCTTTAAATTTTGGGGGGTGAAACTAAAAATTAAAAACATATTATAATTAACTAAAAGATGAATTAAAAGACACTCCTGGAAAAGAAAAAAAATACCAAAGGAAGCCATTTTGCATGGTTCTATGGGAAAATACTGTTTTCAGTTTCATGTTTAACATAAACACTTCTGCTGATGTGTTTGTTTAAAATTCTGGCATATTGCACCTCTGATTATAACATTGTGTTCAGGTGAAGTCTGTACACTCCTCAAATCAAGCTAGAGTTTGTTTTCATAAAATGAAATTATGCCACAACATGAGCATCATTATATGGCACAAATAGTACGTTTTACATTGTGTACGTCAGACAGGCTATTATTGAGCGCAGTCAGTGTTTTTGTTGAGACACATTCATGTGAATGTGGAGAAAGTAAAATGAAGCAGTCGTAGTTGACAGAGTGGGAGGTTTTGCGACGCCTCATTCGGTGTGACTGTGTTGAACATACCTGAACATGGGCCACAGGAGATGTGGTCGGCAGCACAGCCTGTTCAAACCTCCTCTTCACACACAGCACGGTGCAAACCTGAGAGGGAAACAAACACACATGACACGACATACATCAACTGTGTGCACTGGGTAGCCAGAACTATACTGATCTATTGATATCAATATTAAGGAAATCTGATAACGATAGGTTGGAATTCATTTTAAAGGTAGGAATAAAATCTTACCAAGGAGCCCTTAGAGTTTTCTTTTTATTCGTTAACAACACACATATTCTTAGTGAGACATTTCTTTCCCTTCCAGCCTTCACATCCAAAGGTCTGAGGTGTGCTGGCGCTCCATTACAGGCCAAAGGGGCTTGTAGAGAGGAGAACACCATTATTGTACTTGTAAATGTCAGAAACACCCCGTCTAATTGTGCCACTAATTCATGTTTATTAATGCAGTGATGTATGATGGCACCACACACAGACCGAGCCTGTCTGCGCCTGTCATGTATGGGGCTGCAGGGAGTGCATTAGGGACTGGGTGGTGCACGCGGTGGGTGTGGGGCATATGGTGCATGTAGTCACAGTGCCAAGTGGTGTGTGACTTTAACATGAAGGCAGTGGGGGTGAGGGAGTAAACTGCTGGTGTCTTCTGCTGGCCCAGTGCCAGGGCCCCTAGTCCCCAGTGCCCCAGCCCCTCGCTACCCCAGAGCCTCTGGGCAAGTACTACAGTTATTGTTTTCACTGCTGAGCAATTAGTAGCACTTAAGATTTATTTAGTCATGCTCTAATGTGTGGTAATTAGCTCGGGGCCCAAACAAGCCCCTTCATCCCGCCACCTTGTCGCTTGCATCAGAGTGATGCATCAGCAGGAGACAGTGAGGGAATGTGAGGGAGGAAGCAGGAGGTGCAGATGGCGGGGTTGTGCGGAGGGGGGAGCAGAGCTGCAGGATTACAAGAGCACCAGCTTGGCTCTGTGGATCAGCACTTTTTAAGAGATCTTCAGGGGCCTGTTGGCTGAACGCAGAGCAGGAGGAAAGGGCAAATACAGCCCAGTTACACTTTTATAGAATGCTTTGTGGAAAAACACCCCTGACACACACCTCGGCCTGGCAGCTCCGTTTGTCATATGGCCCAGGGGGCTCCGCTGGCCTTTCACATGACCACCACAGTGACCTTAAAGCGCTGCACTCTGCATCGAGCTCAGGCCACTCCCAGCGGCTGCACTGCTCTTTGGGAAATGCAGTTTGGGTCACTGAATAATGTGTGACTCACTTGGCCCTCAGGCGTGGAACCAGGTAGCCTTAAAAAAGATTATGCAAAAGCTGCCAAGTGGAATAAAAAAATATTAAAATACTAGTTTCTCTATTATTGCTGGTCTTTAGTGCTTTTGGGATTTTTTAATATTATTTATTATTATAACATATTATACTGATGGTTTATGTCACGCGGCCTTGCAGTTTGAAACTGGTGCAGCAAATCGTACACATTTATATGAAATGATCATTGAGAACCAGTGTGTCTTAGAGGAAACACAATTAATGTAAATTTTATGTTAAATCTTAAGCAAGTTACCACGATACTAGAGTGTTGTTACATCGTCCAAAAAGCTACAATACACGATCATTAGAGAAAATTCTCCTCAAGATCCCAACTGCTTGAACAAAGCTGGTAAATTTGCCTTTTGCCTTAATGCCCGAGGCTTGGAGCAGCAGGACATCCTAAACACAAAATCATTACTCTCTCCTGACATGTTGATTAAAATCAGTTTTCATGATTGTTTTTGACATGTGGCCTTTATTCTCTATTTTAGCCATTGATTCATGTTTCTATGTATCTATATATATTTTTTTTTCTTTTTTAATTTTATTTATTTATCCAAGTTTGTATTTATTTTTAAAACTTTCTTACTTTATTGCTGTTCATCTTGACCATAAGACCCTGGCAGAAGAGATATTGTACCTTAACAGGTCCTTCCTCGTTATAAATAAGATTTGAATGATAAATAAATTTACTTTAGGTTTCAGGTGCGCCTCTAAGATGAGATAATTTGTGTGTTCTCATAAAATAATGAAGTGGTTTCAGTAACCTACTTTGGTTATATGATTTTTTTCATCCTCTATAAGCTGTGTGCACTCAGACACCAGGCTCTAAGGTGTAGATGTCACACACATCAGCCACAGTTTGGTTCTTAATACATTCACATGCCAGTGAGTGGTGATCTTCTTACCACTGTGGTCAAAGCATGAATTAAATATCACATTCAACAAACAACAGCAGACGACTAGAGATGGTTGATAGAAAAAGAAGAAAATCAGCGTACAAGCGACATGCCCCCACATCTCTATTGAAGCACGTACAGAATAAAGCACAATTGCATTTTCCGAATAAAGATACACAGAGTCCTGAGAACTGAGGAGAATCAGTACTTTGCGATTTAGTATCGACAACAAGAAATATTTGTTCTTTTAAAACACTGTTTCACCCGTAACTCTGTGAATACATGTGAGCAGATGAAGGTCAAAGGCAAGTTCAACTACCTATGCACATCTTATACATATGCATTAAAAAACCCATCAGTCTTTGCTGGTTGGAGGGGGTGGGAGAACATTTAAATCACAACATATTAAAAACAGCATGTGGAAAAAAACTATTCAGCCTTTGGTCATAAAAGAAAAACCTGCAGAAAAAAAACTGCTGATGCAACACATTGGAGGAGACATTTTTGTGTTTGGTGTTTGACTGAGAGATGCACTCTAATCATCGCAGAACTGGAACCTCCTCATGAAACGATCACCTAAAATTGCTCTGCAGTCTGGGAGGGTGGTGCTATAAAATGAAACATCACTTTCCATTTTATCTCCATAGGCAGCACGCGGCTCTGAACCAATCACAACCCTGCAAGCCGACCCTTGACCTTTTTCATCTCAATATGACTACCATTATCTCGCAGAAAATTAGAAGCAACTCGCTACTGTTCAGGAGCGACGGGGGGGGACAGGGACGGGACTGTTTAAAGATAAATGCTCTAGTGTTCATGATCCATGTGGCAATCACACACCACCAGCAGAGCAGAGAGGGAACATGTCTGCATGAGTGCACATGCGCACATAAGAGGCTGCGTGTAAATGGATGCAGGTGGAGTGTTCGGTGCTGACTTTGTGTTTGCCTGGTAAACCCCGTCTGTTGGTTATTATGAGAGAACTAAAATGAACAGCTTTAATGTACAATTTACGTCAGAAATCTTTGAAAGGGAACTCGGATGATGATGCAGCCTTGATTTCAGTGGTCTCCATAGGCAACTGGATGGCTGTTGACTGTCGTATAAACATGAGTAGTGAGAGGGATAATATCCTCCTGGTAACAAAGCCACCAGGTGACGAATGTGAATAAAGCTGATATAGGACTGAAATAACACGACAACATGATGCTGTGTGAAAACTAGCTGAGCATCTGTTCGCTTTTTTTCTACCACAGAGGAAGACACGCAGCTGCACATACACAGTTTAAATAGATGAAGAAGAAAGTGTGTTACCTCTGCAGGTGTGAGTTCAAGTTTTTTTATGAAGGTCAACATTGAAAATCTGAAACCTAAGAGGTTTTAATCTGTTATTATCCGTATGTGCAGATGTTGGCTGCAACATTCACAATAAATCTCAAAACATTTATTATAACTTGTTTCATTACAGCTGTACAGGAGCTCGGTCACAGGAGGAGATTAATAACTGCATCTGAAATCCACATTTCAAACGAGCATGCTAATACCAAACTGCTCAACTCACTGGTTATAAAAATCATCTATCAAAATGTATTTCAACTTCGCTATAAACACTTTTAAAAGAACTGTTTTAGGAAAAAGCAAAAGCTAAATATTCATTCACCCACAGTCAAAAACAAGCTCAGTAGTAGATGAAATTGTTTGTCTTCTATATTCAAATATATCCACAAAGCATTTTAGTTGTGTGGCATTTTTATAGAAACATTTGAGCTAGTAGAAACCATTTGTTTAAAAAAAACAATCTTAAGAATTTTAGGGCTAATCTCGTCACCTAATTGTGTTACATTACTTTTCAACAGATATCCCTTTATCCCACAGTAAATAATAAAAACCTAAACCTTGTTTCATTTCAATACATGAAGTTTGTCAAGAACAAACTTGTGCATCCATCATTTTATTAACATATCCTATCACATAATTATAAAAATGATAAACTTACAATTTACAATTTAACAAGCAAGAAATAAACACGTTGTGTTTCAGGCAGCTTATCTATATTTACAGACCCGGTGAATGTAAATGGTAAATATGATGACATCCTCTTTGTTGCACTTGTTCTGATTGTTCTTAGAACGTAGTAAAAACCTAAAGTTAAAAAAAATGTGCAGGACAAAAGAAAAGCCATGTAATTTAGGATATGGGTCTAATCTTGGACTGTAATCATTTGCATTTTAAACAGTAAGTAAACTACTTGATAAGCCATTTTTGGATTAACAAGATGTAGGATACAAAGAAAAACATACTGCATTTGCCTTTTTAAAAATTGTACTTTGTTTCAGGCAATGAGAAGCAGCATTTCATTGTATTCTTATGATTCTTATTATTGTTCTATTGTCAGAAAGCTGTTCCCACATTCTAAGGTTGTCTCATATTTTTGGTGATTTCCGTTGCCTTAACAAAGGCAGAATACATAATAACATAATATATTAAATGTCCACTGTTGGAGTCAGAAGGGAAACTGACCATGAATTTGCAGGAGTTCTGCTGCAAACACTTTCCTGAATGTCATAAAACAGCAGGACAACTGCAGTTACATCCAGCATATGATAATAGCAGGATATGCTTACTAAATAAATGAATATATTAATATTTTTGTTCGTTTTTCACTCCCAAAATTAGTTTTCATCTATTATGATGCATGCATAATGTTACAGAGGGTCACGGGAAAGCTCTGCTTTAAATGTTATATTTCAATGATTGGTTCATTCCCTCCATTTCCTGTTCATTGTGTGCGAGCAAACTCCATTGTCTGTGGGTAGATTCTGCTCGGCCCTCAGAGGGGCCATCCCCAGGGAGCACTGCATCTTTTATTAA